TTGATCTTCTTGATCTTACGTAAAAACCTCGTAAACGTCACCTAAGCTGTTATAGAGGGGATTTTGAATTTTAATATTAATTATTGTAAAAATTAAACAATTTTAGGACCTGAAAATGTTACCAATCCCTCTATTTTTACATAGTTTATCGATTTTTTGAAAGAGAGTCTTTCTATTCGATTGAGGGTAACGGCCCTATACGATACAATAAAAATGTGCCATGAATTTTTATATACAATTTAATGTAGCAACTAAATGTAATTGTAATTAAATTAGATTTTAATAGTTTACTACTTATACAGTTTTGTTTAATTGATCTCATTTTGTAAATAATTGTTGTAGCGAGTTTTAGATACTTATTATCTTTACAGAAAAACTATATCATATACAGTTGACTTGGCGTTAATAATAATGAATTATAGTATTTTATTAATATACTGTGTTTTTACTTATTATCAAAATCGGACAATTACTAACAATGTTTAAAGGATTAAGAATATAATTATTTATAACATTTTTAATCGTTTAAATACCGTTATTGTTAGAATTTTGCGCCGCCATTACTATGACATGATCTATAGGACGAGCCCATTCCAAAAAGGTATCACACATTAAAATCGGACAATTAGCAATAAAGTTATATTTATGGATATGATTGTTTATAACCTTTTTAATCGTTTAAATACCGTTATTGCTAGAATTTCACGCCACCATTACTATGATATGATCTACAGGACGAGCTCTTTCCAGAAAGGTATCACACATTAAAATCGGACAATTAGCAATAAAGTTATATTTATGGGTATGATTGTTTATAGCGTTTTTACTCGTTTAATTACCGTTATTGTTAGAATTTCGCGCCGCCATTACGATGACATGATCTACAGGACGAACCCATTCCAAAAAGGTATCACACATTAAAATCGGACAATTAGCAAAAAAGTTATATTTATAGATATGATTGTTTATAACCTTTTTAATCGTTTAAATACCGTTATTGTTAGAATTTCACGCCGCCATTACTATAACATGATCTACAGGACGAACCCTTTCCAAAAAGGTACACAAATAAATCGAACCATTAACAAAAACGTTATACTTATCGATATGATTTTGTTTTTCAAAGAACGGCCTGGCGCTACGTACGTCCGGAAACAGGTTCGTATTTTGTTGCAGTTTTCTAATTACCCATATGATTTACCGACGACCAAAATTCACTTTTGTGTATAGAAGACAGTATACGCATTCTGATTTGGTAATCATACCTGATATTATGTTAATTAGTCCTCTATTTTTGGGACTCTAAAGTTATAGAATTTTTTTATATATTTTACTGTTTTTCGCGGAATTTAAGGTGTTCCCGCCCAAAATCTGCGCCGCTAAAACTATGTTAGGCTCTACTCTAGGAGATCTTTCTAATGAGCTATTGATCATTAAAATCGATACACAAACAAAACATTCGAGACTAATATATACAGGGTGTCAAACAAAAAACGCCCCAAGCTGTAACTCTGTCATTTATATTCCCATTTTTAAGACCAAGGCATCAAATGAAATGGTTTGATGAATACTATGATTCATGCTACAAATAAATTTTTTTTAAGGCCATCTTCAATTTTAAGCGATTATTAACTTTTGTCCCTCATCCATCTTTTGCCCTCGCCCCCCTCTCCCAAAATCTGCCTTAGCTCACTACACCCTCTCAGCATGTGTTCTAGCGTCTCCCACCACAGCCTACACCATCTCTCCGCATCGTCCGCCCAGTACCTATTCCCCCTCTCCTCATTACCACAACGGAATCTGGCCACCAATCTCTTCCCTCCATCATCCCCCTCCATCAACAAATATTTTGGCAGTTCCTCTGTAACTATCTCCCCATACCTTTCATTGTATCTCCCTTCTCGTATCTGTGACCTTTTTTCCTGCCTCTGTATATCCCTGTCCTTANTTTGTTGCAGTTTTCTAATTACCCATATGATTTACCGACGACCAAAATTCACTTTTGTGTATAGAAGACAGTATACGCATTCTGATTTGGTAATCATACCTGATATTATGTTAATTAGTCCTCTATTTTTGGGACTCTAAAGTTATAGAATTTTTTTATATATTTTACTGTTTTTCGCGGAATTTAAGGTGTTCCCGCCCAAAATCTGCGCCGCTAAAACTATGTTAGGCTCTACTCTAGGAGATCTTTCTAATGAGCTATTGATCATTAAAATCGATACACAAACAAAACATTCGAGACTAATATATACAGGGTGTCAAACAAAAAACGCCCCAAGCTGCAACTCTGTCATTTATATTCCCATTTTTAAGACCAAGGCATCAAATGAAATGGTTTGATGAATACTATGATTCATGCTACAAATAAATTTTTTTTAAGGCCATCTTCAATTTTAAGCGATTATTAACTTTTGTCCCTCATCCATCTTTTGCCCTCGCCCCCCTCTCCCAAAATCTGCCTTAGCTCACTACACCCTCTCAGCATGTGTTCTAGCGTCTCCCACCACAGCCTACACCATCTCACCGCATCGTCCGCCCAGTACCTATTCCCCCTCTCCTCATTACCACAACGGAATCTGGCCACCAATCTCTTCCCTCCATCATCCCCCTCCATCAACAAATATTTTGGCAGTTCCTCTGTAACTATCTCCCCATACCTTTCATTGTATCTCCCTTCTCGTATCTGTGACCTTTTTTCCTGCCTCTGTATATCCCTGTCCCTATCTCTCAGTTCTCTCCACATTTCACCTCTTTCCGCTCTTCTGTGTTCGATCCCAGTTAGTAGCCCACTCTTCTATAATATTCTTCCCTGTCTCTTTGTCCATAGATCAGCTTCCTCCCCTTAATTTCCCTCCAACACTCTCCCAGAATCCCGCAATGTGGTCTTGCTTCTATCCTTTCCTCACTACTCTTCTACCCGCCTCCACCCTTACTGCCTCCACGTTAACCTCCTCCCTCACTACATACCCTGGGGTCTCCCTTGCCAACCCCAATACCCATCTCCAATATCGTGTTTGTATATCCTCCAGCGAACATTGTTCTCTCCATCCCCATACTTCTGCGCCGTACATCATTGAACTCCTTACCAAGCCATCAAACATAACCTTCCTTTTTCCCACGTCTCTCCCAAAAGTTCTTTCTCCCCATCCCCAAACTTGTCCCATCACCCTGTTCGCTCTTTTTGCTATCGCCTTCACGTGCGCCCCGACCTTATTACTTTCCGGGAAACCATATCCCAGGTGCGTGTACTCTTTCACTTGCTCTATCTCTCTTCCCTGCCACCTCCATTCCTCCTTCTTTCTTCTTCCCTCTTTGCAGAACTTCATTATCTTTGTTTTCTCGACGTTTACCTCCAACCCTTTCGCTTTAAAATATTTTTCCATCACCTCATCATCTCTTTCATCTTCACCGCCTCTCTAGCCACTTCAACCAAATCGTCCGCGTACACCAAGGCCCTTTCGCAAGTCTCTTTTCCAAGTCCGCCGTATATATTGCGAATAGTGTGGGACTAAACGGGCACCCCTGTCCCAATCCCTTTGTCGTCCAAAATACCTCACTTAACTCTTTCCCCACTTTAACCTTGGCCATCGTCTCCCTGTACATCTCCTTCACCCTCCCTATCAGTTGTTCTGTTATACCACTCTTCCTCATTTCCTCCCACAACTTCTCTCTATCTACGTTATCGAATGCAGCCTTCAGGTCAATGAACAATCCATACAGCTTTCCCGCTTCTTGTTCAACTCCCTATCTACCAGGTGTTTCAGAATGTATATATTGTCAGTATAATCTTCCCTTCCTGAATCCTGCCTGTCCATCCGGCAACAATTCTCCTCTTTCTATTTCCTCTTCTAACCTCCCCAGCAGTATCTTTGCATACATTTTGAAGGTTGTGTCCAACAGAGTGATTCCTCTATAATTGCTCACCACCCTTTTATTCCCCTTTTTATACAGTGGGCATATTATCCCCATCTTCCACCTGTCCGGAAACCTCTCCCTCAACCATACGTCGTTTATTATTTTCCATAGCTTCTTCATCATCGTTTCCGTCGCCTCCAACCATGCCTCATTCTGGATCTCATGCTCTCCTGGCGCCCTTCCCCTCTTCAGTCCCCTCAACACTGCCTCCATTTCTTCCAGTGTTATCTCTTCTCCTCCTTGCACCCCTCGCTCTCCCTCTCCCAGTCTTCTCTCTTCCATCCTTCCCAACAATCCCATGAAGTAGGTTCTCCATTCAGTCATTTGTATATCTATGCTGACTTCCTCTCCTCCCTTCCTCATCCTCTTTAAGTATCTCCATACCTCATTTTCCTCTTTCAACTCCTTAATCTTCTCAGCCTCCCTTTCCTTCGGCTCCCTTTTCTTTTTCTTGCATTATCTACCTCTACCTCCCCTCTCTGCCACTGTCTCAATTTCCTTCTGGCTTCTCTCTTAGCCTCTCTGCATTCCCTATCCCACCATTCGTTTCTTCCCAGTCTAGTCCCCTGTCGCCCACTCTTTCTTCAACATCGCCTCTCTAACCACTTCTATTAGTTCATTCAGTCCGTCGGCCTCTCCCACCCTCTGACCTCAGCTTTCCAACTTTCCTCTATAATGTTCTATCCCCTCTTTCGACCAATCTACCCTAATGTATTTCGAGACTAATAAAGTTGTGCTTAAAGTTTGTGTTAGCTTCTTTAATTGTTCCTATCTAATTGTTTTGAGAAATTGCAGCGGTATTTATATTAGCACTATAATCATTTAGTATTAAATTAGTATTTTTGAATATAAAGAACTTTTTCGCATCTAACTGAAAACGGTTATTTTTTGAAATGTGTTCCCATATCCTCTGCAAAGATGTTGACAATTTACAGATTAGATTAGATTGTATACAGTATTGCCACAGGCATTGCTGTATGCTTACGAAACCGTTATGAATCGATTATTGCAGATGTTTTAAAAATTCAATATTGATAAACTAAAAAAAGAATGCATATTTTAAACTGACACACATATTTTCATTATATTTAAATGAAAATACAAATACCTATTTACTTTTTTCGGTATTGGCTATGCATGTATGTACAATATGTTTTATTTTAGTTGTCAGCACAGATGTCTCGGCTATCGTTGGTGATATGACAAAATGTTATAGAAGGAATTCTATTATCTACCATTAAATGTGTTAGCTACAGCGAATACATTCAAAATTTTTAGTGGAGTAATTTTACTACGTATAACGTATAAGAAGTTGTGAAAATGGTGAAATTGGTTTTGCTTATCGGTAAATAAAGTAAATAACTAATACGATAAGTAATTTACATTCCTACATCGCCTTCCTAGTTTAGTTTGAAAAATACAGATATGCAATTGCTACGAAATATTCTCCTCTTTATACTTTTTTATTTCAATTTAACGCACAGCTGTAAGTAAGCATAAATATTCATTAATAACAATTAATACTCATAGTTAAATCAATAAACAATTAGAATAGACTGAGATTTTTAAATTTACTCCGTTTAGGCTTTGGTTTCATTGAAATGATAAATTATAAAAACTCAACATGGTCTAATCTAATTATAAATTTAATTGAAAGCATTAATTTTCATTTATACATATTTAATTAATTTTTAGACAAAATATGTGCGTTGAAAGAACATTCTATGGATTGCAAAGGGTTAGAAAGATATAATAATATAAAATGCGTATATGTAGACAACGAACTGAGTTGTTTAACAAAAATTGATTCCGGTGAAATTGATTTTGGTTTGATAAACGCCGAAACATTGTTTTTGGGAACACACTTAACTTCGAACGTTGTCGCAATTGCCCAAACTAAGCCAGAAACAAATGTTCACTACTACCAATACGAAACGGTTATAGTATCAAGAGAACGTTTTAAACCTCAGAAAGGAATGAGTTATTGTCACCCAGGTTTTAAACCAACAAATATTCCGCCATTGATTTTAAAAGAATTCGAACAACAAGTTATTGGGACAGATTACGATACTAAATTTGAAACTTCGATTGAAAGCGAAATTTCCGCCTTAAACAATTATTTTGGGCCAAGTTGTCGACCTGGGGAGTGGACTCTTAATAAACCATTGGATGAATATCTACGTAAGTTACAAAAAAATGTAAATTAATATAAAGGATTTTCATACATTTTTAGATAATAAATATACAAAACTAACTGAATTATGTGATGAATTAAAGGCACCTTCTTTCGAACAGGCCTTGGAGTGTATGCTTAAAAATAATCATTCGATTGCTTTGTCTTCATTGAACACAGTCAATGGTATGGGTAATACAATAACTACACCTTTGTGGTATTATTGCAAAAATGGAACGGTTTCGAAAGAACCATGCGTTTGGAGTAAACAGCCACATAAATTATTAATTGTAAACACAAAGGAGAAGTATGAAATTATTTGTTGTATATTCACATTTTTTAACAATACCACTTTTCAAAATTAGCGATTTAAAAAATTCTCTAGAGAAATGGTTAACAGCTAACCGAGATTTAGCAGATAAAGAGTTAGAGTACCTTAAAGAAATTCTAGAAGATAACGAAAACTCTAACGTTCAATTAAAATATAGGTTTAACAAAGATGAATTATTACAAACTTGGACAAATTTTAGTAAAAGTAGCAAGTTAAAAAAGATTTATAAAATAACTGAAAAGATTCTTATATAGGTTTTAGGTATATTCCACCATCATATGATTCGATTATCTCCAGACGTAAAATGAGATGGTGCACAACTTCCGATAATGAGCAAATGAAATGTAAATGGTTATCTCAAGCCGGTGTAAATTACGGGATCCAGCCGGTTGTAGAATGTGTCCAAAAATCCAGCGAATTTGAATGTCTTAAAGCGATCAATAAAAATTCTAAAACCGCCGACTTAATGGTAATATCTACTGATTTAGGATATGCAGCAAGAAAGTATGTCAATGTTTTGTACAAATATTTTGTCACCAAATGTATTTTTTTTAGATATGGTTTATCCGCAATAGCTTTTCCAGTAACGAATCAAGCAATCAACACCTTACTGTTGATTAAAAACAATAGAAACATCACGCGACTAGAAGATTTAAAAGGAAAAAGAGGTTGTTTTCCATTATACGGTGGAACTGCTTGGTTGTCTTTTGTTAAAGTCCTCAAAGGAATCGATTTGCGAAATGAATCCAGCGATTACGGAAAATTATTAAGTGACTTGTTGGGCGATTCTTGTATGCCTGGAGCTATGGAAACTAACCGAGCCTTTGATGATAAAATTGATTTGAAAAAAATGTGTAAATTATGTACAGAAACAGGTAAAAAAGTCAAATTAGAAATAATTGAGTTCCGAACGTTTCAAAGCACCGTTTTAAACTAAAACTAATAGTATCATTAGACCTAGAACTAGAAACTTTCGGGTTAAGCCGTGAGTCTTTTGAAAAAGTGTTTGACGTTTCGGATGCCATGTTGCAACCCTTTTCAGAAACAAGAAATCGGTAAACATTTTGACAATAAATACGTAAAAAGATAATTAATAACTACTAAGTATCTAATTGTCAACTAACAAGGGAAGTATCAGAACTGTCCCTCACCGATTTTGTTGAAATTTGGTACAGCGATAGTATGGCCAAAAATAAGGTTTACGTATTTTTTTATACGTGCTAATAAAGCCCCTGGGGCGAGTTATAAGGGTTGGAAATCGGGGCGAAATATATATATTCGCTTATAGGCTGAAAACGAAAATAGCTATCGAAATGTGGTAAATGTAAACTGATATTCATTTTCAAAGAGCTTTCCATTGATATATCACACATATATCTGAGGGCTTCAGGGGGTAAACTACCCCTAGTTTTTTGGAATATTTTAAAAACTACCCTGTCGATTTTGGCGATATTATGTGTCCTTATAGTACGTTTAAAAATATTAATGACGTGTTTTTTCTTATTTGCCTCTGACCATCCCCTGCAAAGTTACGGGGTATGATAGATAACCCCTTTCCTTAAGAATAATGTGATAAACTGTTACACTTTTGAACAATATTTTGAAGAAAACCATTAATTAGATGTAAATTAAGATTTACGCAGTAAAATAAACCCTATACGACATTAAGTGGTGGCTGGGGTTAACTACCCTAACCACCCCAAAAATTAATTTTTTTCGCGAAAAATGTTTGTCGATTTTGGTGCAATTTACCACGATGATTTTTTTATACGTTAGGTAGTACTATTGTAAGAACTTACAAGGGTTAGAAGTTTGGGGTAGAAAATATATTTTCGCTAATAACTTTCATACTCCTACAGAAAAATGTTTTTTTATCCTTATTCTATTTAAATAACACAAAAGGTAGGATAATTATATAAATATTTATTAATAATGAGTTAAAGAGTAACTGACAAAAGAATGGTTAAAGTAAAATACTTTTATCTGTCTGTACTATAATTTTGATAAACACGTGCACACATAATCCATCCTGTTCGATAGTTTAAACTTAATACGCAATCTACCAATAATAAAGACACAGACGCATTTCAATAAATAAAAAACGTTTAACAGAAATTTCAAGATGATAATTTTCACGAGAGCTTCCTCGTGAAAAGCGAAGTGAAAAGTGAAAAGCGTTCCTGAAGATGGTTTTGTAAATAAGCCGAAACCGGTAGAATTTATAACAGTGAATCCATTTTAATAAAAGTACAGACAGATAAAAGTATTTTACTTTATTTAAAATAAAATGGAAAGAAATAATGTTTGCAACAATATAAAAGAATGGTTGACTATCACAAATTGTATTCTACATTATTAATTTAATTTCTTTTTTTTTTTACTTTTTTTATTCAATATATTGTTGGCAATAATGAAAATCATGGAAAAAATGTTTTAAACACAACGATTGTTTACACCATGCACAAGTTATAACAGTTATATCTCCACAGATATCGCACGTAGGTTTTTCATTGGAAAAGCAAACCTCCACGAGATTTTCAAACTGTTCTGGTCTCTCCTCTATATATCCAGATGCAAACCAGGCGTATTTAAAAACATTAATAAATCGTGGGGAAGACAACTGATTATGCGTTAGGGATTGCAACTTTAAAATATTATCTCGCTGATGCAAATTGACATCGTACTGGTAGAGAATAACTTGATCAGAAAATCTTCTAATGAAATTTTTCCATATTCTAAAACTAAATACATCCAGGGGTTGAATTTGGCCTGTTGTCCCTGCAGGTATAGACAAATATTTAAACTTAACATCCGATGGAGTTATTTCACTAATAATTTCACGGCAGTGGTCACTCCAAAAATCCAGTAATAGTAATGATTTGGGTCCGGTATTTGGGAAATAGACATCTTGTAGCCAATTTTTCATATGAGCAGAAGTCAACCAGACTTTGATGCCAAAACGAATATGTTATCTGCTTTGAACATTGTATTTATTACGCTCGGTCCAAACGTACCAGAGAATTCTTTTAAAACAATGAAAGGAGGAGAAAGTAGCTTTCCATTTGCAGATATGATGGGTTGAATTGTGTAGCTATGTGTTGTCGATGACACTGACTGGACCACGCTTTCCACGGGTTTAACCCCTAAAACCCCTTTTAAATAATAATAAATTTAAAAAAAAACTAAACCAACAATGTAGAATACAATTTGTGATATTTAACAACTTTTTTTCAGTTGCTTTTTAACTCATTATTAATAAATATTTATATAATTATCCTAGCTTTTGTGTTATTTAAATAGAATAAGGATAAAAAAGCTTTTTCTGTAGGAATATGAAAGTTATTAGCGAAAATATATTTTCTACCCCAAACTTCTAACCAACAAATAAGTTCTTACAATAGTACTACCTAACATATAAAAAAATCATCGTGGTAAATTGCACCAAAATCGACAAACAATTTTCGCAAAAAAAAAAAAAATTTTGGGGTGGTTAGGGTAGTTAACCCCAGCCACCCCTAAATGTCGTATAAGGTTTATTTTACTGCGTCAATCTTAATTTACATCTAATTTATGCTTTTCTTCAAAATATTGTTCAACAGTGTAACAGTTTATCACATTATTCTTAAGGAAAGGGGTTATCTATCATACCCCGTAACTTTGCAGGGGATGGTCAGAGGCAAATAAGAAAAAACACGTCGTTAATATTTTTAAACGTACTATAAGGACACATAATATCGCCAAAATCGACAGGGTAGTTTTTGAAATATTCCAAAAAACTAGGAGTAGTTTACCCCCTGAAGCCCTCAGATATATGTGATACATTAATGGAAAGCTCCTTGAAAATGAATATCAGTTTACATTTACCACATTTCGATAGCTATTTTCGTTTTCAGCCTATAAGCAAATATATATATTTCGCCCCGATTTCCAACCCTTATAACTCGCCCCAGGGGCTTTATTAGCACGTATAAAAAATACGTAAACCTTATTTTTGGCTATACTATTGCTGTACCAAATTTCAACAAAATCGGTGAGGGANTCAGTTTACATTTACCACATTTCGATAGCTATTTTCGTTTTCAGCCTATAAGCAAATATATATATTTCGCCCCGATTTCCAACCCTTATAACTCGCCCCAGGGGCTTTATTAGCACGTATAAAAAATACGTAAACCTTATTTTTGGCTATACTATTGCTGTACCAAATTTCAACAAAATCGGTGAGGGATAGTTCTGATACTTCCCTTGTAAGTTGTTTTCGTCAAATTCGGATGTAGAAGGTTTCGTTAAGTTCACTAGCATCTTCCATGTGCGGCTAAGTTCCCAACTGTCTTCTCTATTCATGTTATTACCATGTCGATGAATTTCTATCGCCTCTCTCGTCATTCTTCTCTAATGTCCGGTTCTTACTAGCACTTTAGTTTTGTTGAACTCCATGGTGTGTCCTCCTTTGTGGCAATGCATCGCGACTATAGATTGTTGGATTTTATTCAGTCGGACGTACCTCTCGTTCCTTGATGTGGCATTTGATGTTACGTCTAGTTTTGCCAACGTAATACTTCCGCAACTGCAGGATAGCCGATAGAATCCCGCTCCCTTTAACGGGGTTAGTTTGTCTTTAGCTATCGGAAGTGTATCTACTTGTATCGTACCACGGTATCATTCTTCTTCAGATACCTCGCAATGCGCTCCGTCACACCTGATACATAAGGAAGGCAGATAAAAGTGGATGATGTAGTACTTAACGACTCTTCCCTCCGTTTGCGTGGTTTGGTACTTGCCAAAGACTTAAATTATACTGGTCTACAATGGTTTTGTTGTCCTAGATATTAGATTGATTTTGGATATATTTATGCTCACAATTTATGAAACTATCAATGATTTTGTAAGATTTGCTCTCGTTTTTTTTTAAATCTTTATTTTCATTTTACGTTACAATCGGAAAACAAGAAACAAAATAACAGATATATTTATAATGTCAGTTTTGTTTTGAAAAATTAGGATACATCGAAGTAAATAAAGAGGAAAATATCGAAAACATATGTTATATTTCCATATGTTATATAAAACACCTTTTATGAGCTTTTCTTTTATAATTTTTCAGGGGACAATCTCTTTTTAAAGACCAGCAGAGAGATCTTTTTAAAGATCTGCCATCATGTGACAATCCCATCGACCCTGATACCTCTCCTCCATCACTTTTAGATCCTGGTGGAACGCTCTCCCTGTTGTGTGCGGAGATAGTGTAACTTGATACTCATATTTGGTCCTAGAGTCTGAAAGTTTGTCAGCATATTTTGTACAATTTCTTCATAATTTGGTGTTTTATAGTTACCTAGGAAATTTTCGACTACCAACACAAAACTTTTCCAAGCTTTACTTTTCGGAACAGTCATAATATTAATAAAATCTGTGTCTTTCATCAATTTTTGATAATTTGAGATCACGTATTCACTGATAATTTGAAATCACTGAGTTCATTTTGAGAAAATAACTTCGGCGTAGATATTTCACCCTCCCATTCACTTCCACTGGTAGACTGTCCCGATTTCTGTGAATTTGGCAACATCATTGTTTCTGAGAGCATGCGAATTACTATTGAAACGTGAATAAGCCNTGCACTGCACCTGGCCCAACGAACAGTATGAGTGCAACTGCACTAAACTGCACTATCCCCAACGAACACACAACATCTGCACTAAACTGCATAGTGCAAGTGAGTGCAAGTAGTGCAGTCCCAACGAACAAAGCTAATGGTTTTGTTGTCCTAGATATAAGATTGATTTTGGATATATTTATGCCCACAATTTAATAATCCGTAATTTCGTAATTTTAATCTTACAATGATTTTGTATGATCATGTGACAATTCCATTAACCCTGATAGCTTTCCTCCATCACTTTTAGATCCTGGTGGAACGCTCTCCGTGTTGTGTGCGGAGATAGTGTAACTTGATATATATTTGCTCCTAGAGTCTGAAAGTTTGTCAGCATATTTTGTACAATGTCTTCATAATTTGGTGTTTTATGGTTACCTAGGAAATTTTCGACTACCAACACAAAACTTTTCCAAGCTTTACTTTTCGGAACAGTCATTACATTAATAAAATCTGTGTCTTTCATCAACTTTTGATAATTTGAGATCACGTATTCACTGATAATTTGAAATCACTGAGTTCATTTTGAGAAAATAACTTCGACGTAGATATTTCACCCTCCCATTCACTTCCACTGGTAGACTGTCCCGATTTCTGTGAATTTGGCAACATCATTGTTTCTGAGAGCATGCGAATTACTATTGAAACGTGAATAAGCCGAGGGAGATTTTCACTGTGTAGAACAGGACATTTTGCGTAGTAGTTAGCACCTACTACGCAAAAGTAACAATCATCGAAATGATTCTTAGGCTCCATCCAGATCATAGGAATACGAAAGTCTAATCCAGAACGTTAGAAAAGCGATGAAAAACGTGCAGAGTGAGTTCCTAATTAAATTCAGATTAATAATAATCTGTGTAAAAAGAAGAACTTCAGAAAAAATGGAAGAATTAACCCTCCGGTTGACGGGCTAGGTCTGTGAGACCTGCCAAAATCATTTTTTTATTATATCTTTTCAAATATTTTTTTAAATTGATTTATCTTTTGGGTACTTTCTTATATTTACTAAATACATGCTTTTCTCTTTTGTTTTTAATTTTTTGTTTTTTCTTTTGTTTTTGGGAGGGGTTTTGGGCTTTTTGGCCCCACCCGTTTTTTTGTTTTGGTTTTTTTTCTTTCACTTTTTTTTTCTTAATGATAAAAATTGTACAGGTAATTGATTTCAATTATGTATAAAACGTTCCTGGGGCATCCTCTGCGTTGTAATTATACGGTGTTTCTTCTATTCAGGGGAAGTCCTGAATACAAGAAGTATTTCTTTCGGTTGCTTTTGAATAAGAAGGTAAATTTTTGTTTGCTATCCGGTGAATCCCTTTCCTAGGTTTGTCCAGACAGTACAGATGTTCCATTTTAGGGTAATCTCTGTTCTTTAATATTATTTCGGAATACTATATGAATGAAGGCAAACCGCTTTATGTTTAGTGTGTTGTAAGTTGTACATAACGTCCTCTACAAGCGAATTTATTATTTTCATTTTGTGAAATGGATAGTTACGAACAGAAAATCAATGCACTTACCGATGAAATTTCAAGTCCAGACGTTAGTAACGAATCTGATAGTGAGTCCGTTGCTGAAGATATAATTAATGAACGTAGTACTGATGAAGAGGACAATCCTTCTACTAGTACTGGTAGTACCCGATCTCAGTGTTTTTATGGAAGTGACAGAATTAATTGTAAGTGGAAAAAGCGTGCTCCCCCTTGCTGCGTTCGCACAAAACAGCAAAATATCGTTAACCACTTGCCTGGAGTTCTTGGAGAAGCAAGAAAGGCCAACACACCGTTTCAATGTTGGATGCTCTTTTTGAAGAAATTTTAGATATAATTACAGTAAACACTAACTTGTATATTACAAAATTCAAGAGTAAATACGATGTTACACCTACCAACAAAACAGAAATGAAAGCATATATCGGTGTATTGTATTTAGCCGGTTCTCAGCCTGGAGGCCGTAAAAAATAAGTGAATTTTGGTCCGAAAAAGGTTTAGGATTGCAAATCCTTGCTAGCATATCTCAACGAAGATTTATTTTCCTGATGAAGTGCATACGTTTTGACAATACCGATACAACAGAAGAGCGACAGAAACTAGACAAACTTGCTGTCGTAAGGAACATATTTGAAAAATTTAATCAAGTTTGTAGAAAACATTACAGTGTGGGTGAATACGTGACCTTGGACGAAATGTTATTAGCATTTCGCGGAAGATGTAGCTTTAGGGTTTACATTCCAAGTAAACCAAGTAAATATGGGATAAAAGTATTTTCTTCAGTGGATGCAAGAACCTTTTATACATCGCATTTGGAGATTTATGCTGGACTACAACCTACAGGACCCTTTCAAGTTGATAATTCTGCAGCTGCGGTCATTATGAGAATGACCAACCATATTTCGGGAACAGGACGGAATATTACCATGGATCGCTGGTTCACTACTGTCGAAGCCGTAATGGCGATATTACACGGTTCAACCAAATTGATTCACTTTTGTTGAAAGGCGCAGAAATGATAGATATGCTGTTTATACGTATCCACCAAAATGAACTATTCAACTCACTTTGCGCTGAAGATATCGTCGAATGTAAGGTCGTATGGTTGGGAATAACCTTAATTTGTGATCATTAATTAAGGAGTTAACAAAAAAGAAGCAAAGAAGTAGAAGGCGTTGGTGGGTATGACCATGGATATTAAGAAGACAGACCTTGGGAGCTTCAAACTGTCTATTGAGAGAATTGGCAGAAGAGGATCCAGATTCATATAATCTTCGAATGAATAAAACAGAATTTGAAAAACTTCTAAAAATGGTTACTCCGTTAATCCAGAAAGAAAGTATTATGATGAGAGATGGTTTACCAGCACGAATAAAATTGCAAATCGTCCTCAAACATCTTGCTACTGGTGATTGTTTTGGATCATTGGAACAATAAAATTATACAGAGTACTCCGATGCACAATTTCTTCTTTTATCCTAGAAGTATGTGAAGCTATTTGGATAGCTCTTCGAGATTACATCAAGGTAATCAGTGACATAAATAAAACAACTAATTTATATTTGTTATCTTTTATTTTTATTTTATTTTTTATTAATATTGTACATAATCTACAGGATGCATTTTATAGCTGATTGCAGCACGTCCGACGTATTATTTTCATTATATTGGTCAAAATGTTGTGTAGGTGTTTGAGTAGTAGGCTGAGTGTGATAAGTCGACGAATTTTGAGTTAATGTTTCAAATTGTTCTTCAATAATATAGTCTGGTGACCAAGATGTTTCAGATGATGAACATATTGAATTTGCAGATTGAATATTTGTATCTACAAAGTCATATGTAGTCTGTGAATTTAATGGGGAACTTGTAGTGGAGGAGCTTGTAATGGACTGCAGTCGTTCCTGAACCATAACATTTTGTAGTTTTTGTTGGCAGATTAAGGCCCCATGTAGGAGGAGTATTCTTTAACTGCAATGAACATGTACTGAATCATTCAATACATGTGTTTACACGTTCAATTCTCTTTCATTTGCGTTGAATGATGAACCGCAATTCACTCCAAAAGTGAAAATATTAAACCAGCCTTATTCTTTCAAGGCGATTGCACAATCACATTGAACGATTCACTTTTATGTTTACATGATTCAATTTCCTTGCTTCATCTAAATTGAAAGGCAGAAGTGAACCGTGTAACATCGCCTTAAGTCGATTGCTGCACGAACATCGACTAACAGTAGTTGGTACAATCCAATCCAATCGAAAATCATTGCCGAATGAAATTAAAAATGTGAAGGGTAGGGCTGCACGGTCTTCAGTTTTCGCGTTCCATGCTGATATGACGATAACATCGTATGTACCCAACAAATTTAAGAATGTTTTAGTAGTGTCGTCCATGCACTATGATGACAAAATCGACGAAATACCGGTGAAAATAAAAAACTAGAAATTATAACATTCTATAATAATGCAAAGAGTGGTGTTGATGTAGTTGATAGAATGACATCTCACAACGTTGCTCGAAACAAGGCGGTGGCCATTGGTAGTTTTCTTCGGCATACTGAATGTAGCAGCAATCAACGCATTCATAATAAATAAAAGTAATAACCTTGATGACGAATTTTCAAACAGCATGTGACTGTTTTTGGAGGAGCTGGGCAAGAAATTAGTGTTAGAAAATATGAAAATACGAGCTAATAAACCGAACCTACCGCGGAAAGTAAGAGGACTAGCGGCTCAATTATCAGGACTCTCAACTTCACAAGAATCTCAAACGGTTTCGACTGGTCGACAAAGGTGTAAATACTGCAAGGACCGAAAATCGAAATATTTTTGCAAGTTGTGGTACTTGCATCTGTTTGGAGCATTCAAATCTATGCTGCACCGACTGCGCAGAGAATTTTGTTTAAGATGTTTGACGATCTACATTTTTATATATCCAAATTTTATTCTTTTTTGTGTTTATTAAACATTTTAGTTTACGTTTAGGCAAAAATTTTTCTTATATTGTTTTCAAATTTTTTTTATTTACAATTTTTTGTGTAAAGTACGTTAAATGTAACATTGTTTTTAATAAATAATAACTTTTTGGGCAATTGTTTTTTTGATAACTGTAGTATTATGGCGACATCTAGCGGCAAAATTGTAGAACGCTCACGTGTTAACGAGTGCAACGACGACCAACTTAGAAGCATCACCTAGTTTAAGTGAAATCAAACTGTTTTAATCATTTAAGTTGTTTTATGTTATTCAAACAATATAACATAGTTATTTGAACATTTTTAAATTGTACTTTATTATAATAAATAATAATACCACATAAATTGGCGACGAGAGAAAGAAAACGGAAACAAGTTATAACAGGTGGCGTGACGTCATAAGACACATGGAAGAATCGAGAACGAACATGACGTAATCAAGAAACGGATTTTTAACGGAACAAAATGGAAACACAACAACAAGAAAAACGTAAACATTTTAATTTTGAAGCTTTTAAAGAAGATCAAGAAGATTTTCATTATTACATACAACGTTTTGAAGTGGAGTTAGCAATAAACGGAATAAAANTCGCGTAGAAGTTCGCTTTCTAGTTGATCGTATTTACATGATTTTGCTAGATTCGTTAATTCACGGATATATTCCTCCGCTGTTTCGCCCTCGCGTTGGTTTCGGTTGTTAAATTTCGCCCTTGCTCTCACATGCATGCACATTGGGTTGCATACATGCTACAATTTGCGATGTGTATGAGAAAGGAAACGGAAACAGTAACTCAATTTATAACTAGACTTCGTGGTTTGGCAGGAAATTGCGAATTTGGTGCAAATTTAAACGAACGTCTGCGTGATCAATTCGTAATCGCAATTAATAACTCTGCGTGGCAACAAGAGATCATTCGGGAACGTCCAAATAATTCTGCAACTTTGTCAGAAATTGAAGCTACAGCCGTGAAGCTTGAACAAGCAAGTATTCATTCGCAAAAATTAACGTCACTTACTCAACAAAATCAATTAGAACATGCATACCGGGTAACAAAACAAAACTTCAACAAACACAAAAACGAACAAAGGTCGGAAAGAATACCTAAATCTTTTGACAGAAAACAAAAATGTTTGTTTTGCGGTAATAAACGACACGAAAACGTACAAACTTGTCCAGCTAAGGATAAATCCTGTTCTTCGTGCGGGAAGAAAGGACATTTTGCAAAAGTTTGCATTTCTTCAGGAAAAATAAAGTTAAACAAAAATCAAACTACAAACACGCGAAACGTAACAACAAAAACAAACGATGAGTCATCATCTGACAACGGAACAAGCTCAGATACTTTAACTATATGTAACATACGAACATCAAAGAAAGTAATGTTAACAGTTAAGATTGAAAACAAGGATTGTCAAATGCTTTATGACCCAGGAGCTGCACATTCAGTAATAGGGAAAAAAGTATGGAAAAACTTGGGAAAACCTAAGTTACAACCCACGAACAATCTTGTAGCTTATACCGACATAGAAATCAAAACATTAGGAACAACCAAAGTACAAGTCACAGCATATGGAAGAACACTAACACTACCCATTTACGTGGTTGAGCAAGACGACACACCTTTATTTGGTCTCGATTGGTGCATAGCATTCAAAACACCATTACCTGAAGGAGCACGAATTTGTAACATTCAATATCAGAAAAACAACGACAAACAGATCGTATCAATTGAGAAAGTAGAAAAGCAATTAACGAAAATTTTAGAACAACATAAAGAACTATTTGATGGTAGCATTGGAACCATAAGGGGACACACAGCCCGCATACACATTTCCAGCGATGTAACACCAAAGACTTTTAGGCCTCGACCAGTACCTTTAGCCTTACAGAAGAATGTATCAAAAGAGATTGAAAGATTAGTTAAAGAAGATGTATTAGAACAAATAGATACAACTACCACACCGATCGAATGGGCGACACCAGTGGTGATAGCAGTTAAATCAAATGGAAATGTTCGTCTTTGTGGAGATTACAGAGTCACAATAAATCCATTCGTTCAGGCAGACAATTATCCTCTACCGAGATGCGAGGATATGCTTAGTAAACTGAGTGGTGGAAAACATTTTTCACGAATAGACTTAAAAGACGCATATTTACAATTACCCGTTCATTCCGATTCAAGAAAATATCTAGTTATTGCAACACACAAAGGTTACTATACCTACAAACGTTTACCCTTCGGAGTCTCATTTGCTCCATCATTATTCCAACGAACGATGGACCAAATATTAAATGGATTAGAAGGTACCACATGTTATTTAGATGACATATTAATAACTGCACCAGACAAGGAAACTCATTTGAAACGAATTGAACGTGTGTTAGCACGGTTACGACAAGCTGGCATCAAAACGCAAGCATCTAAGTGTGCCTGGTTACAGAAGGAAATTGTGTTTCTGGGACATAAAATAGATAGAAATGGGTTACACCCAACTGAAGAACACATCCATGCAATACAGCAAATGCCACGACCTCGAAATGTCACAGAATTGCGTTCTTTTCTGGGATTAATCACATATTATGCCAAATTTATCGAAAATCTACAGATCATTTGTGAACCCCTTCATCGACACCTTAAGAAGAATACGTCATTCAATTGGACAAATCATGATTCAGAAATATTCAAATCACTGAAGAAAACTTTAACCTCAGAATCAACATTAGTACATTATAATGAAAATTTACCACTTTACGTCAGTAGTGATGCATCGGCAAGAGGAGCAGGAGCGGTGCTAGCTCACAAAATGCCCGACGATACCCTAAGACCTGTTGCATTCACATCCCGTACTTTTACAGACGTAGAAACCAGATATTCGACAATTGATAAAGAAGCATTAGCTATTGTCTATGCGGTAACAAAATTTCACCAATATCTGTACGGACGACATTTTTATCTTTTAACCGACCATAAACCGCTAGAACGTATTTTTAGTCATAAACGCGAAACACCAAAAATAGCAAGCAATCGATTGTTAAGATGGGCTATGTTATTGAACAGTTATAATTACACCATCAGATATACACCCGGAAAACAAAATCAAGCGGCGGACGCTTTGTCAAGATTACCTATCTGTGAAGATACACCAAGTAAAAATGAAGCGATTGGTCTACTAAAGCGAGGACATCTGTTACACCTCCGAGTTAAACACCTGCCGATGTCAAGAAAAGAATTACAGAAAGAAGTTTTTAAGGATCACGTGTTGTGCAAAATAATACCATATATTAAAACATATTGGCCATATTACGAAAAAAGGGATAAGCTATCGTATGAGGAAGATATGATTCTTTGGAAGGGAAGGATATGTATCCCAGAGAAACTTCGCAAAACAATATTAAAGATGTTGCATGAGGGACACCCGGGAATCACAGGAATGCAGAGTATGGCGAAATTACACGTCTACTGGCCAAATATCAACAACGATATACAAAAGTTTATAGAACATTGCGAGTATTGTCAAAGCTCGAGAAAGAGTACCCAACATCTACCTCTATATTCATGGGCAGCACCACCAGTTCCGTGGTCACGAATCCATCTGGATTTTGCAGGACCGTTTGAAGGAAGAATGTGGTTAGTGGTTATCGACGCCTACACCAAATGGATTGAAATTGAACCGATGAAATCAACGACAAGTGCCAAAACAATAAATATTTTAAGAAAAATGTTCGCGCGGTATGGACTGCCTAAAATAATAGTGACTGACAATGGACCACAATTAACATCGGAAGAGTTTGAAAGTTTCTGTGCGTCGTTAGGTGTAAAGCACGTACGTACCACTCCATATCACCCGCAGACAAATGGGATCGCGGAAAGACTTGTAAAAACTTTTAAGAATCGCATGAAGTGTAGTGAAAAAGATATAGATCTAAATACGCGAGTGCAATCATTTTTAACTTCATATCGAGCAACCCCTACTAGAACGACCGGACGAACACCGTACGAACTTATGTTTGGTCGGCTCATGAGAAATAAGTTTGATCAACTGAAACCGGATGTACACAGACGACTCGATGAGGAGAGTATAAGACAAAAGCAATGTTATGATCGACACCATGTAAAAGAGAAATCCTTCGAGATAGGAGAGCCTGTTTGGGTCAACAACCCGTTAGCGGACGGATCAAAACCGGGCCAGATAGTTGAAAAAACAGCACCGTACTCTTATATAGTAGATCTGGGAAATTCTGTAAAACGAAAGCATGCAGATCAGATGAGATCTCGAGTAAAATCCCCTCTTAATGATGTACCAACTACCCCAGAAAAGCCAAAGGAAATATTCACGGAAATTGACGAATCAACCAGTATGGAAGACCCAAAATGTGACACTCCAAAGAAAAAGATACCCCAACCTGAGATTATAACAGATCGGGAGTCCGAAACGAAGCCTAGACGGAATCCTATCCGGGATCGACGACTTCCGGCGCGTTATCAAGTTTAAGTGAGGGAGGGATGTAGTATTATGGCGACATCTAGCGGCAAAATTGTAGAACGCTCACGTGTTAACGAGTGCAACGACGACCAAGGACAGTTAACACACGACCACCAACTTAGAAGCATCACCTAGTTTAAGTGAAATCAAACTGTTTTAATCGTTTAAGCTGTTTTATGTTATTCAATCAATATAACATAGTTATTTGAACATTTTTAAATTGTACTTTATTATAATAAATAATAATACCACAATAACCATTTCTACTTTCAGCAGTACAAAATAAGACAGACTAACAGTAGAATATAATAAATTTAATATTTTATTGTGGGAGGAATAAGCATCAAACTTTGGGTCTGAGGGACCCAGCCTGCCGAATAGTGTGATTTTTAAACCACCCGTCAACTGCAGGGTTAAAGGAGGAATTGAAAAGGCTCCAACAGCAGATGAAAATGATGGTAGAAGAAAAGAAAAAACCGGAAGCAGAGACAACGGGCGTCATAACCAACTTCGTATAGGTATCAGAAAAATTTAATTTCATCAAAGAAGAGTGGCAGGTATGGATCACACATTATGAACGATATCGTGTTGCAACGAATTTAAACATGCGCCCCGAAGCAATTCAAATCGATTCGTTATGTCTACACTTGGGTGTCGAAATAACGCGTATTTACAAGCAAATTTTAAAACCGAGGACAATGTTAAAACGTACAAAGGACTGAAAGAATTCCTTGACGAGAAGTTCCCAAAAACGCACAATATAATTTACGCGAGAGCGAAATTTAATTAATTTAACCAATGCGGAAGAATATATTCGGGAAATAATCAATTTAGCGAAAGCATGCAGATACCATCAACTCGAAAACGAACTTGTACGCGACAAATTAGTTGTTGGTATAAGAGATCATAAATTATCTGAAAACCTACAACTCGATGAGTCATTAACGTTACAAAAAGCAATAGATAAAATAACGCAGGCAGAACGCATAAAATGCGAAAATACGAAATTACGTGACGACCGAAATCGAGAGTCGCCTACAAGGAGTCTGACTAGTCCGAACGAAACCGGGTCTGGCGCAGACGAGATATAAAACGGCTGGCGACAAAATGAACAATAACGGCGAAAAGAAATGTTTTCGATGTGGCGATATGAATAAACATGTTAAAACAAAAGGCTATGAAACAAACATGTAAGAAATGTAATTTTAAAGGCCATTTTGCAAGACAATGCAGAACGAGAAAAGAAAAATACGTAAAATTAGTAAATAATGAAACTGAAAGAGAAAACATATAAATTCAATTAAATAAGATGGAAAGGGATGGTATTATAGAGAAAGTAGAGAAACCAACCGAATGGTGCGGCGCGCCAATAGTAATCGCACAAAACAAGGACAAAGTGAGAATATACGCAGATTTTACAGAACTTAACAAAAACGTAAAAACAGAATTTTACCAGTTACCATTTATTGACGAAACTCTTAGTAAACTCCAAGAAGGAAAAATATTGACTAAATTGGATTTTTCCAGAAGATTTTGGCAACTTAAGTTGAACAAAAAGTCAAGAAAATATACCACATTTATTACACCATTTAGCAGATTCCGATACAAACGAATACCGTTTGGAATTTCATCGGCACCAGAGTTATTTCAGAAGACAATAGATAACATAATGAAAGAGTTGAAAATAATAAACATTGTAATTGTCCATGCAGATGATATTCTGATAGCAGCGGAAACCGATGAAGAACACGAACAAGCACTGAAGAAAGTACTAAAAATTCTAAAAGAAAATGGATTAACCTTGAATAAAAGAAAATGTGAATTCAAAAAAGAAAAAACAACATATCTGGGGTATGTAGTAAGCAAAAATGGAATTAAAGCCGACCCAAACAGCATTAAAGCAATAAAAGAATATTCAACACCAAAAACAATCACTGAAATGAGAAGATTTCTGGGAATGGTAAACTATATGGGAAGATTTATTTCCAATCTAGCAGAAAAAACAGCGTCAATCCGTGAACTGTTGAAAACCGATACAGAATTCATATGGAGCGAGCACCAAGAAAAACATTTCAATAACTTAACGACCGAAATTGCATCACCCAGGGTATCAACAAGATTTTCCACCAGAAAAAGGACAAGAGTCTCAGCGGATGCATCATGATATGGAGTGGGAGCTGTACTGGAACAAGAACAATCTGAAGATGTATGGAAACCCGTGTACTTCTGCTCCGAAACATTAAATGACACGGAGAAATGATATGCGCAGATAGAAAAGGAAGCGTTTGCAGTGACGTGGGCATGCGAAAAACTGGAACAATATTTACTGGGTTCACAATTCGAAATCCAAACAGACCACAAACCATTGACCGTTATCCTAACTACTAAAGAGATAAATAAATTATCAAATCGTTTACGTAGATTTAGAATGAGACTGTCCAAATTTAATTATACTATCAAATATGTTTCAGGAAAACAATTTTATATACCGGATGCCTTGTCAAGGGCACCAACAGACCAACCAGAGGCGGACATGGATTGTTTAGAGGAAGAACCCGAAATTGATATCTATGTCAATGAGGTGATACAAAAAACATCACAATTTATGAACGACAAACTTTAAAACAATACCATAAATACTCAAATAAACTAAAGATAGATAAAAATATGTTAATATACGAAGATCGTATACTAATTCCAAAAAGCTTGAGAAAGAAATGTTCGGAAGCTATCCATAAGGGACACCAAGGCATTAACAAATGCTTGGGAAGAACTAAGGAAACAATATGGTGGCCAGGAATTAGACGAGAAATATCACAAAGAACAGAAAATTGCGAAAATTGTCTAAAAGATAAGACTCCGGCAAGAGAACCAATGATTTGAAGTTTTGTACCCGAAAGACCATGGAAGATCTTAGGAGCTGACATAGCAACATATAACAACAATAACTATATTATAGTACAGGACTATTACTCAAAACATCCTGAAATAAGAAAACTTGGAGATATGACCAGCAAGACAACAATAGACTGTCTCAAAGACATAATGTCACGCCATGGTATTCCCACACAACTGAGAACCGATAATGGAAAACAATTCGATAACTACGAATTCCGTCAATTTGCAAAAGAATATGGATTTAAGTGGACAACGAGTAGTCCAGAGTACCAACAATCGAATGGACAAGCTGAGAGCGCTGTCAAAATAATAAAGAAAATCTTCCGATTAAATGAAGACCCATATATGAGATTATTGATTTACAGAAATACACCACTAAAATGCAATATTTTACCAGCACAACTTTTATTTGGACGAACTTTAAGAGATTGCTTACCAATACTCAACTCAAAACTGCAACCTAAATTACCGAATTATAAGAAAATAAAAGAAAAACAGAAAAATAATTACAATAAAAGGCATAGAGTAAAAAAAAATGAACCATTAGGAATGGGGCAGAAATGGTATGGATAACAAACATGAAGAGTGAAGGCATTGTAAAGAAAAGGACAAAGAAACGGAGAAGGGTGAGATCCGAAGAAATAGAACTTACAGAATCTACCCATCTCGGAATACGAAGGGGAAAACGAAGAAGAGATGAATAACCATAGACCTCAAAACCCTGAACTGGAAAAAGAAAAACGCAAAAGAAGACCACCTCAAAAATTTAAAGACTTTATAATGTAAATATTTTATTTGATAATAATCATGTTTTATGTTTGTAAATATATTGTTATAATGTAGGACAATAAAGAAAAGGGGATGTAGGGTATACTACCAAAAATACACAGCCTTGTGTGGTGGTGTTGTCAAGTACGTTGTAACAAATAAAGTTAATCGAGCTAGAACCCTTATATTATTCAGTCGTCACACGTGTACGCCCAACATTGACCAAGTCTGAAATAACTTTTAATTTCGGAGTTTGCCTAGTATGCAAATATGCAAACTTAGGTGTGCCAAATGAGGCTCAGGCAAAGTCCTAAAAGTGTAAATTAACTTCGGACTTTGCCTAAGTGGGTTAGGCGAATTAAGGTGCGCATATTTAAAACACTGTTTACTGCTATCAGCGTTATCAACAAGCTGTCTATATGTGCTCACTCTTTGGCTTCTTAACTAACAATAAAAATAACAGAATTGGAATTTTCCCAATAAAGCTCTATTTTTGTAAATAAAAAAAAACTAACAACATAGATACAAAAACTAACAATACATAAGATTATATAGGAAACTGTGTAAACCGTTACTTGTTTGAAGACGAGTTTGAATGGTGACATTTCGAGTTGCAAAACACATTTTTTATTGCAGTTACACTTCAAAAACCCTTGGCCCCTGAAAGCAGCGTTTTGGCTACTAATCTAATGCAGAGAGAATTCAATCTCTGGGACGTCTTGAATTTTCAAAAGTGTGTCTTTGCACGCTTGAATTTGATTTCTCGAATACTGCGAGGCAATAATTCCTTTCTTGGTTCCAATTTTATAGAGTCCATCATTTGTTGTCTCCAAAACTACGCCAATTAAGTTTCACGCGTCTCCTTTGCTCCTGTCAAGGGTTGGAACAGGCACAGTAACTGATGTTCCAACCTCAATCGGGGGAAATTTTTTATTAGATGTAAACTTCATTTTCTCTGCCTACTCTTTCAATCCTTCGACAGCTTTCTCTTGATTTGAAGTCATCGTTTTTCTTGCACACCGAAGACATAAAACTGATGCTCCGTAACCCTCGTTGGTATTACTTGTACTCTGGGCACAGATGACATGAACATTTTGCGCACAGCTATAACACTTGTGGACTCCTGAAGTTTCTTTTTCGCATATGCAATAAACAGGTTCCAATTTTGCCATATCAACATCAAGGGCAGGAGTTGTTCCTTTAGTATTTTCTGCATCAGGAAACGGAGTTTATTCTTTAGTATTTTCTGCATCAGGAAACGGAGTTGATTCTCCAAGACTTTCTGCATTACGACCACAAGTGAAATTCTCCTGCTCCACAGTAGTTGCAAGTGCCTTTTCAAGATCTTCTTCAGTTCTAAGAACTTTTTTGATAGAATCAAATGCAGGCAATAAGGCAATGACTGTATTCCGATATGAGCGGTTCTTCCTTTAATGAAATAGAAATTTTTTTTTGTAATGAACTGAAATTATAGTTTACTGAACATCGCTTCAAAAGGTGTCGTATTCCGCTATGGTATGCATTGTTTTTTTGAAGCTGACAAAAACGAATACCTTCGCTCCAATGCTTAGTCTTATTGTCTTCCATCCACGCAAATAACATATCTTCTACGTCCCGGTTAGATCTCTCCACAGTCCCTTGATTTTGCGAGTGTCTGGGTTTGCCATGGACTATTGCTAGCTCGAGCCACACTTCCCTTAACTTTTCAACTACCCGATTAGCAAACTCTCGTCCGTTGTCCGACTGCAACACGCTGGGAGTTCCCAAAATACAAAAAACATCCAATAATGTGTGAGCTACTTCCTCTGCTGTCTTCGTCTTCAATGGACGAAGTATGGACCACAGTTCTGTGGTTTCATTTCCAAAGTAGCAAAGACCAAGGTATCTTCTAGATAGCGAATATGTATTATTTACGATTTTACTATTTATTAGTTACCATCGTTACTCATGATCAATGGTGACAGAATGAATTCTATGATGCTAACTTTGCTCATTATTTCCGTGCATGTCTTATCTGATCCTGTTGCCTTACTGTTGCTAGCTAAGGAAATAGCTTAATTAGCAATAATTATAAAATTCTTCATCTACACATATTTATGTTTACTTTGTTGATCAGATAATTGAAGCAGTCCATAACACGATTGCTCTGGCAGTCTCCCTACTAAACATAATCGCTAGTCCGTTTCTGTTTTTCGTTCCCTCATCACCCGAATATGATATTCGGGTATGATCGTCAATTTCTATTTGTTGAATGTTCTATCTCATTTCCCTAATGTCCAGTATGTTTATAAGTACCCTTCTCATTTATTTGATTAATTAATGTGCATCAAATTAAATGTGCTAACTGTGAAGGAAACCACTCCACAAAGTTCACAATATATTGCAACAAAAATTATGGCACGCACTACGTGAAAAGAGAAATAACAAGCATCAAATCCAACCCATTCCAATACGACAAATTCAATCAAAAGTATCATATGCCCAAGCAGTTGATAATCAAAGGATACCAGACGACATCCTATCAACAAGTTTTAAGAAATGCACGCCAAACTCACCTAGTTACTACTGTTATCGCTAAACTAGTTTGATGGTAATACAACTCACATATAAAATAGTTATCTAGAAATATTCATTCAAAATATCTAGAAAATCTTACTCTAATAGACGCTACGGATTATTGGCTTTGGAAAGTTAGCAGAAGACTAAAAAGATCTCAACGACACATCCTTTCAAGTAAAGGTGAGATAACTTCTGGGCCGAAAATAACAAAGAATGATGAACTCGACATAATTAGCTCCTTAAAAGTGCCATTTCGTCTAAAAATGCCTCACTGCAAGTTCATAACTAAGGATATACAATAGGTCATAATGAAACAAATAAATATAAAAAGACTACATGATTTAACCAGATTAATGGAATGATTCTGCGGAAATGCACCATGATAATTTAATGTGGTAATAAATAATTAAATTATTATTAATTTTATATATCATATATTTTATTTAATTAATTTTATCAGTCTTTTATTTCTTTCTTATAGGTGAAAGTAATATGGCTTATCTGGTGAACTAGAAAGTGATGGCAACTTGAAAGAATCGTTGAATTTGATGAAGTTGACTCTTCTATAGTACTACATATCTTCAATTTTGAAGGTTTTTGGATTACAGGACTTTGATGTATCTGGAGAAGTTTCTGTAGAATTGGAAATCTTAAAAGTCTTGAATAGTTTTTGGGTTTCTTCTGATAGAAGTATAACTACTTGCAGCTCAGTGAAACACCAGTTCGGAATGATGTTCTTTGTAATTGGGGTCACCAATAAAGGATAATAATATTTATCCTTTTATATAATAATAATAACATTTTGGTAACTAATGTAACATAGAAATAAGTAACTCGATTTGAAATATCGGTTGCCACACTATGATCTATAAACTTTTCGAAAAGCTATAAGTATGTTAATAGACATCACACAATAATAAATTATGGGGAAATAATCCAAGATCAGCAATTTGCCTTTCGCTACAATCAGGATTGCAGTGCTAAATCATGTTGTTCTGCAGGTTTCCTCGACATACTTGAAGCCTTTAATAAGATGTAGTACGGAGGTTTACAAGTTAAACCAACGAGGCTCCTTCTGAATCCGCACTATCAACTCCTCACATTATATTTGACACTTTCTTGTGAAACTAGGTATTAAATATTGTTCAACTTATCTCCCGTGCTACAGGAGTTGCATCAAGGAAGCGTTCTTAGCCCAGTAATGTATCTATTGTATAGGTCAAATGTGCCAACAACGAAAAGTACCACTTTTGCAACATATGTTGATGAAACCGCAACATTGCCTTTCGAAATCTGTAACATAATCTAAACATAATTCATAAGTGTATGAAAAATATAAATATAATATGTCACTTTCACTATGCTAAAAAACCCTCTCGATTACCTTATGATTCAACTAGGTATAAAGTGTGTACGTACCGTGATTAGCTATGGGGTTACTGCTAGTTCTTTCAGCGTTTTGGAAACAAAGTTACCAACCAGCATTTCTTCGTCTGTAATGAGATCATTCATTGTGTCATCCCTCTACAGATTAGAAAAGAAGTGATCCACCAGTTCGGTTTATAATACTACTATTAAATTTAAAAGAAATCACTCACATGACATATAAGGTTCCATTGTCAGCTAAAAGGGCCCATACACCTGCGAACAAATTGCACAACAGAGGCTGTTGNAATGGGCCAAACTCACGTCTACTTTCATACGGATATTCACCTCATACAAGTAATAGTAGTCTATCTCAATCATACCCTCCATCTCCAGTACAAATCACCACTCTAGAGAACAGACCACAACATTCATCCCAATACGTGTACCCATCACATTCAAATAATACAAAAACTCATTACTCGTTACTACTCATTACTACTTCTCTCATTATAGTATGTTGTTTTTCTATAAGTGGTGTTATCATTACCAATAATTCGCCAAAAGTAGTGGGGTCCATTCGTAAATAATTTTTGTAATCTAGTGGTGAACTCAATTGAAGTTCCTTGAGGAGATTTGCGTGGCTAAAAAGGGATCTTTTCTTCAACCACTCTTTCATCCATACTCTCCTCTTCCTCCTTCTTCTTTTAATACCAACATCCTCGGAGGTTATAGCAATTATTATAGCTAAACAGGCCGCTTCGTCAGATGGCATGTTTCCGTATGAACGCAACACATACAACTGAGGTTTGCATAAAATAGCGCACAGTGTAGGCTAACCATGTTTGTACAACACTTTGTTGCGCAACATCAGGTTGCCCAATATGTATGCAGGTGTATGGGGCCTATAACGCTATTTGCCCGCTAAGTGGATTGCGCAATCCCCTGAATAAAAAAAATAATTTAACAAATCGAAAATTTTTATTTTAGGAAATACTTGTGGCGCATCCGAAGCGACAAACTTATATTTTAACACATCTGGTGCGCTCAAATGTTTAGAGGAAAAAGGAGATTTTGCTGTGATCGTCAAAGATCCTACAATAAAGTTCCCCACTAACGTTAGTGTGATGTGCAAAAATGGAACATTTTCGATGTTGGATAGTTTTGATGTGGACGAAGGGTGTTATTTATCTACTGTGATATCAAGCGAGATTATAACGAGAAATAATGACCCATTAAACAACGATAGCCAATTAGCATTTTTGGAATTCGAATACTGGTTTTCTAATTACCCTCATAAACCTTTTGGATTATTCGATTCTTTTAATAATATAAACGATTTACTTTTTAAAGTAATATTTTTAACTTATTTTTTCAGTAAAACTTGTAAATGATTTATTTGTGTTTAAGGATACAACTAAAGGACTTGAATTGCCATCTTCGGAGAAAGATATTATCAAGAATTATGTTAAACTCTTGGACCATATCAACCATTATGAAAACGGGCATAACAAAGCATTTTGTGTAGATAATTCTTCAATCACGTTTTTTACAACAGTTGTTATAATAGTTACAATTTTTCTGAATAGTTTTTAATTATAACTATACAGTCCACTCCCCATCTAATTTGAAAACGTTAAATATAAGATAAATATAACAGAAAAACTAAAAGTTCACAACAAATTGTTCATGAAACACTCTCACTGCTTTATGTAGGTTTCTGTCACGTAATACGTATATCATAATTGCCTCAATTCTTTGCCGTAACCTCAATCTTATCATCTTAACAATTTCTCGACCTTGCTTCGATGAAAGTAGAAGATAGAAATGAACAAAATTATTGCAACACGGCTTTATACAAAAATTTTACCTTAACGAGAGGCAACGAGAGTAAAAGTAGACTAACCCCACAAGCCTGTCTTTTGAGCAATGAGCAAGATTAAGTATTGGCCTATTTTATTTTTCAATGAATTGCATGATTAACATGCTATCTGTCGTTCCCACTCGGTGTACAAACTTACACCATGCTTTCTCATGCTTTGCCAGATGCAAAATTTNTTTGTGTTTAAGGATACAACTAAAGGACTTGAATTGCCATCTTCGGAGAAAGATATTATCAAGAATTATGTTAAACTCTTGGACCATATCAACCATTATGAAAACGGGCATAACAAAGCATTTTGTGTAGATAATTCTTCAATCACGTTTTTTACAACAATTGTTATAATAGTTACAATTTTTCTGAATAGTTTTTAATTATAATTATACAGTCCACTCCCTATCTAATTTGAAAACGTTAAATATAAGATAAATACAACAGAAAAACTAAAAGTTCACAAAAAATCGTTCATTAAACACTCTCACTGCTCATTCTTTGCTGTAAGCTCATTCTTACCATCTTAACAATTTCTCGACCTTGCTTCGATGACAGTAGAAGATAGAAATGAACAAAATTATTTCAACACGACTTTATATAAATATTTTACCTTAACGAGAGGCAACGAGAGTAAAAGTAGACTAACCCCACAAGCCTGTCTTTTAAGCAATGAGCAAGATTAAGTATTGGCTTATTTTATTTTTCAATGAATTGCATGATTAATATGCTATCTGTTGTTCCCACTCGGTGTACAAACTTACACCATGCTTTCTCATGCTTTGCCAGATGCAAAATTTTGCAATATTCCATTCCCTTCTTATATCGCTGTTTCTAATCTTATTATACCTTTTCCACTTAGTTATAATTATAATTCATCCATATGTGCTATAAACACACTTGGACTCAATTCTTCTCCCTGCCGAAGGCCATTCTTCGACATAAATTCTCTCGATCTTAAATTTCCATATACCACAGCATTAACATTCCATAATTTCTTCCTTGACACACTATCAAACGATTTTTTCAAGTCAATATATCCCAAAAAAATTCCATTGTCTGCATAATCTTTTTAACTATTTTTGGATAGTGAATGTGTTGTCTTGTATATTCCTGCCTTTTTCAAACCCATTTTGAACTTTATCTAATTTTCTTTCAACTGTTGGCCTAGTTTTGTTATCAAGAATTTGTTATGGTATTGCCCATTCTAGTACTGTTATTTCTTTGTAGTTCCTGCAGTCTTTTTTGTCATTCTTTTTATGTATCGGGACTACTAACGATATTTGCCAGTCTTTTGGGATTACTTCTATTCTTCTTTCTGCTTATATTGATCATAACTCCACATAGTTCTTTTGTTTAAATAATTTTTCTAAGCATATTTCTTTATTTTTAATACATTGTCTTATTTATTCAGACCACCACGCCATTTGCTTCTTGTTGCTATTTTTTGTCTGCCTACGTCAATTTGTCCTTTATATTAGTAATTATTGTAGTAAGTTGTCATTTTTGATGTTTTTATGTCCTTAACTATATTTCTGGCATATATGAGCAATACATAAGTCACCATGCTATCTGTAACACTAATCTGTAGTACATTTGTAAAAGAATAATAAATGAATTAAAAAATAAATTTTATTTTACTTTTATTATTTTACCTACGCAAACAATAAAGACACGGCGGCGGCGTCCATTGGCATGCCGGCGTCGAGTTCTAGTCAACATAGGTAGTATTCCACGAATATATCATATTGGGGATTCCATACAACAGTGCAGTAATTCAAAATGTTAAATACGCACGTATAATAGAGATCCTAGTTTTGTTATCAAGAATTTGTTATAGTATTCATGAATTAGTGTCAACAAAATCAGCAGCTGATATCATGACGAAACCCAGCATACTAAAGCCTTACCAACCACCAAATCGCTGTGCTCATTAAACAATAACTTAGTATCAAACGTCACGCCCAAATGCCTCATAGATGTAACTCTTTTTAACAACTTTCCTCCAATGATGTAGCCAAAGCGTATAGGACAAGGTCCTATTTTGTAAAAGTAATTGTAAAGCATTTGCTATAATTTATGGTGATAAAATTTGTAAAACAATATTGAGCAAGTTCATATAGATCTAGCTGAAAAGCAGAATAGTCTCTAGGATTAGACACGCAGCAGACGATCTTTAGATTATCTGCATACATTAAACAGTTAGCGTGTTTAAAACACTTAAATATGTCATGAACATAAGTATTGAAAAGCAAAGGTCCAAGAATGCTTTCTTGAGGATGAGACTGACACTGTCTGGGAGGAAAAACCTCTAACTCTAACCGACTGCGTCCTATCAGCCACATAGGAAGCAAGCCACTGTTGAATGCTGTAGGGTAAACCACTATGTTCAATTTTATCTAGCAAGAGCAGATGATCAACTTTATCAAAAGCTTTACTAAAATCAGTGTATGCAGAGTCCAGCTAACAGTTGTCATTAGAAGAATGCAAAATGTAATTACAGTATAGTCAAGATGATTGGTCTCTACCGAATGTCCAGCAAAAATCCGTGTTGTCGAGTGCCCAAAACATTTTTTACAGTGTAAAAAGTAGGCTTGTAAATTAAACCTCAATTACCTCAATTACCTTGCCGAAAATGGACAACAAAAAAATTGGTCTATAGTTTTCGACTAAGCTTTTACATCCAGATTTAAAAATAGGCACCACAGAGGGCTGCTTCCAGATTAGCGGGAAGATACAGTCTTTCAGAGATCTATTGAACAAGATTGATAACGGTTCACTAAGAGATTCACAGCAATTTTGTATAATAATAGGAGGTATACCGTCACCACCTGGCCCTCCGGAAGGGTTAACGGCTCTAAGAGCTTTCAAGACCTCAACCTACTCAAGTTGTAGAGACAGGTCGCAAAAACGCGGGTCACCACAGCGGAAATCATTGCTACTGCTCGAGATCAGCGAAGCATTAAATACTTAACCGAAATAGCGAGAAAAAAAGTAGCAGATAAACGCATTATCACTAGCAGTGACACCGTCAAACGTAATTTCTGCAGGCAAGTCACTTATCGCGCGCTTAGCTCTAACAAGTAACCAAAACCTTTTGGGATCATGTCGTATAATATAATAAATAATATAATAATATTTAAAATTAATAATATTTATTGCCCAGCAGCGTACCAAATTAAGGGCAAAATATCGCATAATTATATGCATTACAAAAACATAAACTGAAATTACAACAAAAAAATAATAGTAGATAAATCAAAATCAGTATTAATACTTTCTAACAATGTAGTTTCAAAAAAAAAACATGAAATCACTATCAATTCAAATTAACAATTGAAAACGTTCATTTACGTTGGATATCATATGGGATATCGACGCCTTTCTTAAACCATTAGTCCTATTTCCGAGGTGGATAAAAACGCATGTGGGTTCGAGAATTCATGCGCGGCACCACTAAACTAACTAGCGACAATAACCAAGCACAATCTATCTTACTATACCACAACCTCTGCAAGTGCGATGCACTGTGGTCCATTCTTCTGGTTTGTAGAGAAGGAAATTCGGGGCGATGCAGTTGGTCCAAGTAGTTCACCCCTCTTGGCGGATATTGACCATCCATACGATACTTTAAAAAGCGACGCTGAACTTTTTCAATCATCAGTCGATGCGACGTATAAACAGGATTACTGAAGCGTATTGAAGTGTAGATACAACCAAAGCTATAAACAGCGTTCTTAGGGTACTTGAATCGCCAATGCGACCCATGATCCAAACCCAAAGTGCTCTAAGCCCGCGACACATAGTGGTCCACAAGCGATAAAATGTGAACGAAAATCGAAATTTTTCTTTTCGTTTTTTTTTACATGTTACATGTACTTTAGGTCCTAATAGACTGAGAGGTGAAAGGAATAAAGTCTTATGTACTTTCTAGTGCCAACTGTACTCAATAAAACAGTACTACAATTCTTGTGTATTAAATATCATAAAATGCTACAACTTTAGATGAAGAAAATATATTGTGTTCCACTTTTTCAAGACAATGCGTTGTTGCTATCTTGAACAGTATAGAAAGGTCTTCATTTGGCACTTTTCTAATTTTTAAAATATTTTTGCAGAAATACGTAATAAGCACTTCTTTTAAAGCTAATTAACACCTACTTGAAGTTACAACCAAATGTTTTAACATATATATCTCGCAGAAGACGCAAGAAGAACTTTTGTCGCTAGAATATTCTTATTCTTTGAGATGTGCTCTATATAACATGATAACCACATCTTGCTTTAACTTGCTCCTTTCCAAGATATTAACGATCAAAGATGATCAGTGACTGAGTGTGTTATTTGACCGTTTTCATATAAAATGCTTATATTCTTTTTCTTAAAAGATAAATCTCGTATATTTGGTGTAAACTTGCATAACAATAATAGAATACCAGACTTAAAGTTTCAGGCATATCTAACAACCGGAAGTGGTTGTTAGATACAGTGCGGCAAAAAACTGGAACACTTGAAATATCTACTTTTTTTGTAAGTACGAAGGCTTTCACGGCCGGAGTTAATTGAACTAAAATTAGAACTAAAACTAGTACTAACTCTTAACTAACTAAACTGGTTCGAAGTGTTTCTGAAGAAGGTTGCAACATGGCATCCGAAACATCAAACCTTTTCTTAGAAGACGCACGACAAAACCCGAAAGTTTCTAGTGTTAGTTGATGAACGGTAGAGCTAGAAGGTTTTAAGTTTGATTTGTCTGTTCTCCATGTATACATTGGGTTTTTTGTGTGTCTGCTTCACATTTCATATAGATTAAAAATTAGAACTTGGAAGGTGACTGGTTCATACGTACTTTTACTAAATTATCATCAGAGATTTCATTAAACAGTGGGTACAATATTAATTGCAATGAATTTGATAAATACTGTTTCAAAACTGCCGAAAAGTACGCCCCTTTTTTTGGATGGTACTATATGCCAACCAGCGTTCATAAAATTTTGATACATGGATCTGCAGTCATTAAAGAACCTCTACTACCTATTGGAGAGTTGTAGGAAGAAGCGCAAGAAGCTAATAGCAAAAAAATCTGAAAATTTAGAGAGAGCCACACAAGGAAATGTAGTAGACTGGATACGAATGAAGATCTATTTAAAAGACTGCTACTCAGCTCAGATCCATTTATAAGTAATTTTCAACAGCACATTTCTAGAAAACATGAAAGAAAGATGAGTATGGAGACTAAAAGATTTCTTATAATAGACAATGTAGAAGACCAGGAAGAAGAAAAAGATCGCGAAGAAGAAGATGAATATGACGAAGAACAAGAATCAGAACAAGAGCTATATAAGGCAGGATGCAACGAAGATGAAGATGACGAAGAATGGTCTGAAACAGAACAAGAAGAAACACACATTATTAAGCAACGTAGATAATTTATAGAGAATTAAATTCTCTTTCTGATAGGCTAAAAAAGCATGGTGCGTTCCATTTAAAATTTTCTACTTTCTCGCCATTGAAAATGGAGAAACAATAATTCAATTTTTGACCACCTGTATAAGATTCTCCGATACAACAAATGACAATCTATTTGACAGCATCTGAAAAATAATCGTACCAATTTAGACCTTTTTTGAATGAACGTTGGCTGAGATATGGGGTTTTAAACAGCATGGTGAAATTTACCAAAAAAAGTTTAGAACCAAAATAACTCGAAAACGAAAAACGCTAGGTACCAATAATAATAATACCAGAATAAAATAAATCCAACATTTCATCAACATCCGCACCAATCTCCAAAAATTACCAATCCATGAGAACAATATCATTATACAAAACATGGCTTATCGAACCAATGAAGATCTGGTAGTATCATTTCTATCTTCAGGAACGAAGGAGGACACCACAACAATCAAAAGTCCTGGATGGGAACTCGTAAGAAAGGAGCGCTTTTTGGCAATGGCAGCGGTGAGTAAAGAATCGCGTTTGGTACGATTGCAGAACCCCAAGAAATCCGCCAATTTTATTCATAACATCGACAATGTTTTCGTTGACCGCCTCAGCTACGCCCTGTATCTCCAGATTGCTACGTCTGGACTACTGTTCCAAGACCGCAACTCTGACGGACAAGATGTCAACCTGTTTCCTTAATTGTACATTATCGGAGGAAAGACTATCAATTACCATGCACTTTTCATTGCGAAGTTTTTCAAAATCTGATATTTGATCACTACAGAATTGAACAGAGGTCATCAGCTCATCATTTCTAGTTTTCATAGATCTAAGCTCCAAACATATCTCGCTAACCATCTCATAGACAGCCTCGATTGTCTGAGCGGAGGCCATACCGCTGTTAGTGCTGACAAGAAGCAATAACAATATCGAGATAGCAACAACGGACAACATAGAAGCGGTGCAACTTTTTACAGCGGAAGGAGAAGTCAGGAATTTAATTCTGACCAATAGAGTATATTTCGCATTGACCCCTTATACAAAAGAATCATTAGAACGATTGTAAGTTAGAGTAATGAATTAAAATATACAATTGAAAGGCTTAGTGTGAAACAATGAGGCTTAATGTGAATCGAATAATTTTAATATAATGAACAGTGAAATGAGTGATGTAGATTCTCCAGT